CTCGATCTCTTGACCTCGTGATCCACCAGCCTCGGCCTCCCAAAGTGCTGGGATTACAGGCTTGAGCCACCGCGCCCGGCCAATAATACACCTTTTAAAAATTGATTGTTGGGCCGGGCGCGGTGGCTCACGCCTGAACCCAGGAGGCCGGAGGTTGCGGTGAGCCGAGATTGCGCCGTTGCACTCCAGCCTGGGTAACAAGAGGGAAACTCCGTCTCAAAAAAAAAAAAAAAAAAAATTGATTGTTACTTATAATGGTTTATTCTAGGCCAGGCACAGTGGCTCACGCCTGTAATCTCAACACTCCATCTAAAAAAAATAAAAACAAACAAAAAAAGATTTATGCTCATCTTTGCCCCAAAAGTTTTCAAATAACTTAAAATAAATGAAAATATATATACATATACCACAAGGGTCAGCTGTGGTGGCTCACGCCTGTAATCCCAACACTTTGGGAGGCTGAGGCAGGCAGATCACGAGGTCAGGAGTTTGAGACCAGCCTATCCAATATGGTGAAACCTTGTCTCTACTAAAAATACAAAACAAAACAAAAAATAACCAGATGTGGTGACACATGCCTGTGGTCCCAGCTACTCAGGAGGCTGAGGCTGGAGAATAGCTTGAACCTGGGAAGTGGAGGTTGCAGTGAGCCAAGATCACACCACTGCACTCCAGCCTGGAAGACAGAAAACAAAAACAAGCAAAAAAAAAAAAACAACCTAGTTTGTCCGGGCAAGGTGACTCAGGCCTGTAATCCCAGCACTTTGGGAGGCTGAGGCAGGTGGATCACAGGGTCAGGAGTTTGAGACCAGCCTGGCCAACATGGTGAAATCTTGTCTCTATAAAAATAAAATAAAATAAAAATAAAAAGAGACTGAGTGAGTCTCACCATGTTGGCCAGGCTCGTCTTGAACCCCAGAGCTCAATGATCCTCCTGCCTTGGCCTCCCAAAGTGCTGGAATTACAAGGATGAGCCATTATGCTCAGCCCATCTTCTGTGTTTTTTTAGGCAACGAAGAAGTTTTGTGAATTTTATGGGACAGTTGACTAAGTTTTGCTATTCAAAACAAATTTATGACCAGTAAGAAACATCAATAAACAACATTTATAACATCAACAAACTCTAAAAATGCACATCTCTTTATATATGTGTGTTTAAGTATTAGAAGCCATTTTTTAGATACTTAAATCTCTTATAAATAAATGTTTATCTGAAATTTATTAGTTCTTTTAGCTTCATGTCACTTTTTTTCTTCTTTTTTTTCAAGAACAAATCCCTTTCTCATCCACAGTTGGCTGTCTGTGGACTCCTACCTACCACTTCATTTTTGGGAAGTCATCCAAGTCCCTTTGTAACATTGCCCTCTCTAAGAAATGTTCCTGATCCCACTTACCACACCCAAGATAGAGTTAGTCACTTTCTCTTCATATGTATTTTAAGTCTGTTATCATGTTTCTCATACTCTATAGTAAATACATATATAGTTGTCCTACAGACAACCTCTAGGAAGGCAGGTGATGTCTTACACCTTCAGTAGTTAAAACCATGCCTGACAAGGGGAGCTAGTAGAGGGTGAAATTCCACTGAAATATGAAGTTATAGTTACTATTTCTTTAGTACATACTTTGTACCAGTCACAAAGGCTAATATTTCACACACATCTCTTCACCCTTCACAATAACCTTTCAAGCAGGAAATAATATCTCTCAGATGAAGACATTAGGCTTAGGAAAGCTGAGTAACTTGCCTTTGGCCACACAGCTAATAAGTAACAAAGGACATTTGTACAGGGGCTTGTCATCAAGGCTAATGCACTTAAAGCACTCTAGAAAAGTGGGTGTATTCCACATATATTGATACTTTACAGATGCAGATCATTTCTCTGATAGAAGAATTTTAGAGGCTTAGCACTTAGAATGGAAACTCCAAAGTTACGGTCATAATAATCTCCACCTGTCCTTTGACCTCTTTCTCTCTCACACAGCTGACAGCCTTTCTTGCCATGTATTGGAAGGATGTATTAATATATTACATTCTCCTCACTACTCTCTCAGCTTTCTCTGTAGTAGGTTTCTTTTTGTTTGTTTGTTTTCTATTTTCTATTTTTTTTTTCATAGAGGGGGTCTTATTCTGTTGTATGCTCACCATCACCTCAAATTCCTGGGCTCAGATGATCCTCCCACCTCGGCCTCCTAAGTATTAGCTAACAAGTAATAGAAAAGAGCATTTGCACAGGGTCTTGTCTCCAAGGTGAATGAACTTAAAGCACCGTAGGAAAGTAGGTGTATTGGACATATATAGATATTTTACAGATATAGAGCATTTTTCTGATAGAAGAATTTTTCACGTGTAGTCCTAATAGCTAGGACTACAGACGCATGCCACTATGCCTCATTAATTTTTAATTTAATTATTATATTTTTAAGACAGGGTCTTTCTATGTGCCCAAGCTAATCTTAAATTGCTGGCCTCAAGCCCAGCTACAGAAGGGCTTCTCAAGTTAAGCATTATTGAAATATTGGGCTGGATAATTTTTTTTTTTTTTTCTGAGACAATGTTTCGCTCCCTTTGCCCAGTCTGGAGTGCAATGGCACGATCTCAGCTCACTGCAACCTCCGCCTCCTGGGTTCAAGCGATTCTCCGGCCTAAGCCTCCTGAATAGCTGGGATTACAGGTGCACGCCGCCATGCCCGGCTAATTTTATGTATTTTTAGTAGGAACGGGATTTCGACATGTTGGCAAGGATAGTCTCAAACTCCTGACCTCAAGTCATTCGCCCGCCTCGGTCTCCCACAGTGCTGGGATTACAGGCGTGAGCCACCGCGTTTGGCCTGGGCTGGATAATTCTTGTTATGGAGGCTGTCCTAGATATTGCAAGACGTTTAGCAGCATCCCTGGCCTATACCCACTAGATGCCAGTCACTTTTCACTCCAGTTCCCAGTAGTGAAAACCAAAAATGTCTCCAGACTTCGACAAATGTCCCCAGTGGGGACTGAATCACCCAAGGCAGGCAGCCGACAATGCTCCCAGTCATTTTCTAAGATTTATAATATAATTCCTAGATAATCAGCTTCCAAAGGTCATGGGCAATCATTCCTCATTTGCTTGTTGGTAGTCATAGATCCAATGAATGCTTTTTCTCCTCCTACCATAACATCTTTTACAAACACACAATAAATATTAAACTGGTGACAAGTAATTACACTCGGGGCCTATAGTTTTGGTTGTCTGTGTAAAAGGGCAAAGACCCAGATGACACATTATCAGGGTCACATCATGTGACTTTCCACAGATGGTTAGAAGTAAACTAACACTCTGTAAAAGAATCTACATTTTCAGCATTTCCGAAGTTTAAGCTTACAGTTACAGCTCAAACAAAACTAAATCAATTAGGCTCTATCCTAATAGTGTAGGTCAGAGTCCAGGTGACATCTAGACCTCAATGCAAATGTTGATTGTGTGGTTGCCCATGTTCCTGGAGTCAGTTTCTCACTACCAGAGTCATGGGTCAGAGACAAACATCTGTTGGGGGATTCTAGCCATTAGCTTTGCCAACAGAGCAGGTACTAAATTTAAACAAAGGCTTTGTATGTGCTGTTGCTTAATACATGCTAGGCTGCTTGGTTACTAGATTTCATAACATTCACAGTGACCATTAGATATGCAAACTTAAATGCTGTTCTGGACTTATAAAGATGACTTTCTGTTGTTTTTTTTGTTTTTTTTTTTTTTGAGATAGAGTCTTACTCTGTTATCCAGGTTGGAGTGCAGTGTTACAATCTCGGCTCACTGCACCCTCCACCTCCCAGATTCAAGCAATTCTCCTGGCTCAGCCTCCCAAGTAGCTGGGAGTACAGGTGCGTGCCACCATACCCGGCTAATTTTCTGTATTTTTAGTAGAGATGGGGTTTCACTGTGTTAGCCAGGGTGGTCTCGCTCTCCTGACCTTGTGATTGACCTGCCTTGGCCTCCCAAAGTGCTGAGATTATAGGCATGAGCCACCGCGCCCAGCCAAAGATGACTTTCTAATAGGAATCTCAGGAGCAGCCTTCTAATGTGAGGAGCTACAGATATATTTTGGCTATTTTATGACTACTTTGAAGGAGGAAATCTGCATTTGAGGCCAGGATGGGAGCACTATGCCTATTAGGAATTTGAAGAAATGAGAGATGATACAAACATGATATTTATTGGAACCCTGCTTGACTGTAAACACTATTGATGCAAGTCAATAAACTAGATATTATTTGGAGAAAAAACCATTCCAAACATAAAAGTTGCATTGGCCTAGGTACTGGAGAGGGCCACATAGGTTTTGAGAGCCAGGTGAACCTAAGCAACCAGGTCTCAGGTGTTTTTTGGCAAGGGCAGAATTGCTCCAAAGCTCAACCATTTCTTTTCACAATATCCCTTACGCTTTTCTTCACCCCCAACATAATTATTTCCGATTCATCCTTCTCTAGGTACAGAAGCAAGCTAAAATTATGGGTTAATAACAAAAGGTAAATTCCAGCAAGAACTGGAAGAACAAGAATAGACAGATCTTTTCAACTTGTTTCTTAGTTCTACATCTTGAAAAAGTATTTTTTTATTTGTATTTTTTAAGAGAAGGTTTTAGTGAATCATGAATCTCAAAATTAAGAATAAACAGCAGTGGGGCATGGTGGCTCACACCTGTATTCACAGCACTTTGGGAGGCTGAGACAGATGGATCACTTGAGGCCTGGAGTTCGAGACCAGCCTGACCAACATGGAGAAACCCTGTCTCTACTAAACATACAAAATTAGCCAGGCATGGCGGTGCATGCCTTTAATCTCAACTACTCAGGAGGCTGAGGCAGGAGAATAGCTTGAGCCTGGGAGGCAGAGGTTGTGGTAAGCCGACATCACACTATTGCACTCGAGCCTGGGCAACAAGAGTGAAATTACATCTCAAAAAAAAAAAAAAAAGGAATAAACATACAAATATATAGTTGTTTATATTCATTAAACACTTCTAGCTTTGCGCAGTGACAGTATTGTAGCCAACGAGGTTTAGCCTAGGCATGATTATTGCTAATTGAAAACTTTTCCCAATATCCCGCCGTGACGACTTGAAATATAGTCGGTGTTGGCAATTTTTGGCAGTCTACGGAGACTAAATCATAAAATAATAATAATAAATATAAAAAAACACTTCTATAATTTGTTTTAGGATATGAATATAAGCATGGTAAACATAGTTTTATTTAATGAGTGATGATAATTCTGTTTCAACTGTCTTAGCAAAAACTCTTTAGGTGTTTTAAGTATCTGAAACCATTGCAAAGGCATGGTGATCAAACCAGTTAATGGGAATGCATTGTTTTTCCCTCAACTTCTGTACTCTCATAGTATCTTGCTTATGTTTCTGTTATAAGTCCTGTCTTGCATTGGAGTTGCTACCTCTTTGCTTTTGCATTAGATCAACTAGCCTTGTAATTTGTAAGCAGTAGGCATCCAAAAACTATTTAAGGTGAAATGCCAAATATAAATATTTTGGTGCCAAAATTCTCTTCCAAGTGAGTCCTTGTATTAAGTCAAATTATTTATTATTCTTTGTGTATTAGCAGCTGTTTTGAGAAATAAATTCATAAGTTATGCCAAAGCCTTACATGCCCCCTCTAGCCAAGCCAGAGGCCAAGGCTTCTTCCTAATCGCCTTTAATAGTTTATTTAAAAAAAAAAAAAAGTATAAGTTGCCAAATAAGATTGGCTTTTAAAAATTCTTTAAGTCAATCAAAATGGAGTATTAAATAAAAATGTGAAACATTTGCTAGGCATGGAAAAAGTTTAAATGTTAATTTCTTCCCCTTTTGCTATATATCTCTTTGTTCTTCTTTGATTATAAATTAAATGAATGTGGTAAGTCTAATTTTGACCAGAGGTGCAGTATCATCAGTTGTATTCACATTTTGCCTCTCATTATTCACGTGGTTGTCTCTTGTGGTGAAAAGGGAGTGGCAGTGTGGCATCCAAATAAAATCTACAGTATGAGACATACACAGTCTGACTCTTATCCTCTTGTGAATGGCCAAACCTGTGATGAAATACTCCAGGTGTATAGCTTTACTCTGATGATCTGTTTTAGGTCAAATCAGACGGGCCTTGTTAAAATTCTAATCTTGTTTTCACTTAGTGGAGACCCACCCTTAGTATGTCATAAAGAAGTAAGGCATTAGACTACATTAAAATAGAAATTAACATGACTTTTACCTTAATGGATATTGTAAACCAGAGACTGGATATTGATACAATGACGTGACTAATTAGTAACCTACTATTATATGTTTTCTTTATGAAAATAGTGTAAAATATTCTCCGTAAATTGAAAGTCTTGTTTTTGATCTGTACAATTCAGGCCATTTTCAAAGCTGAAACTTCTGTGTTTATACCCTGGTCCTTGTGTACATTTAGGAGAGGAAGACAAATGGCCAATTGTGGGTATGACTTCAAGTGAAACTCTAAAACCATTAAACCTTTGAAAATTTTGACCTAAATGCTTAAAAGTTAATAAATTACATCAAACCCATCAACTGCCTATCAAATATCTTACAGCACTGTGCAAGAGCAAATTCATTTATCTGACATCATCAGTACCTTAACTTATATATTCTGGAGTCAAGTAGTCCTTGAGACAGAAGTGTACGGAAGAAAGAAGTTATGCAAAAAGTTTGGTTGGGAATACTTCCCTGGGTTTTGGCTTTCTTCTTTCATAGACAATCCCCAGAGCAAGCTACAGCATGGCAGAAATTTGGCAGGGCCTTAAAATCTCCTCCTCAAAACACATAAATGAATGTTTTACGTAACAACAATCAAGTTGTCATTCTTAAATGGATCTCAAATATAGAGCATCCACAGGTTTAAAAGAAATTAAAAAGCAAGAAACCACAAAAAATGTATTAAAATTCCCCTAAATGCTTAGCAGTTATGTTTGCATTATCATACTTTTACTCTATCACATCAAAATAATGGCCATTGGATTAGAAATTTATCATGTTATAATTTTTTATGAACTTTAAATAGAGATTAAGAAATTGAGATTATTCCTCCATATTTTTTCCCAAGTGTGATAACTTGCAACATTAAAAACAGTATTTTTGGCCAAGCATGGTGGATCACATGAGGTCAGGAATTTGAGACCAGTCTGGTCAACATGGTGAAACTCAATCTCTACTCAACGTACAAAAATTAGCTGGGCATGGTGGCATGCCCCTGTAGTCCAGCTACTCCGGAGGCTGAGGCAGAATGGCTTCAACCTGGGAGGCGGAAGTTGCAGTGAGCCAAGATCCCACCATTGCACTCTAGTCTGGGCAACACAGTCTAACTCCATCTTAAAATAACATAAAAAATAAATAAAATTAATTATTTTTATTATTTTTAATGCCCTGAGTACCAGTTGTTTTTAATCTGTTCAGATATAAATATATTTTGAAATATTCTAAAAATTACATAAATTTTCAAATTCCATATTTTGAAAATTAATTCTATGTTGGTATATGGATAAAGTCAACATTTAACAGGTTAGTTAGAAGCTTCTTGAGAAGTCCAATATTCTCTTTTTTTTCTTTCTTTTTTTTTTTTTGAGACAGTCTTGTCTGTCACCCAGGCCCAGGCTGGAGTGCAGTAGCATGATCTTGGCTCACTTCAACTTCCACCTCCCAGGTTCAAGCGATTCTCCTGCCTCAGCCTCTCAAGTAGCTGGGATTAGATGTGCCTGCCACTACATCCACTTATTTTTGTATTTTTAGTAGAGATGGGGTTCCACCATGTTGGCCAGGCTGGTCTCAAACTGCTGATCTCAAGTGATCCACTTGCCTCAGCCTCACAAAGTGCTGGAATTACAGGCGTGAGCCACCATCCTGGCCTCTAATTTTCTTATTTATCTTTAAACAAATTATTTTCATCAGGACTTAATACACTTAACTACAAATCCTCTTCCAATTTCAGTTGACTATCACTTTATGCTCTATATTCAAACCAATGAGTTACACTTTAGATCAGAATCCATTAAAAACTGAATTACAAAGCAATTCCTAGGTCAGTAGTTGCCATATTGCACATAATCACTTGTAGAATGATTAAAAATGTTAATTCCTAGGCCACACCATCAGATTCTGACTCAGTAACTATGGGGAGAGGTTCTTACATTTTCAATAAACACCCAATGGCATCTGATGCAATTTGCCGAAGAATACGTTGAAAGTCACTTACACAGGCCGGGCGCGGTGGCTCAAGCCTGTAATCCCAGCACTTTGGGAGGCTGAGGCGGGTGGATCACAAGGTCAAGAGATCGAGACCATCCTGGTCAACATGGTGAAACCCCGTCTCTACTAAAACTACAAAAAATTAGCTGGGCATGGTGGCGCGTGCCTGTACCCAGCTACTCAGGAGGCTGAGGCAGGAGAATTGCCTGAACCCAGGAGACGGAGGTTGCGGTGAGCCGAGATCGCGCCATTGCACTCCAGCCTGGGTAACAAGAGCGAAACTCCATCTCAAAAAAAAAAAAAAGAAAAAAAGAAAGAAAGAAAGTCACTTACACAGTGAAAAAAAATATTTAACTCACAATTTCTATACCAAAAAGAGCTCTGTCAATGCATGTGGCAGTCTTTGATGCATAAAGCTAATTAGTCAAAATTTTTGTGCTTTATATGAATAAGAAACCCTACCCTATTTTCCAGCAACCAAATTCCTTTTTAGACCACCAGAGTCAAGTTTTAAGAGTGTCAGAATCGAAACATTTGGTATCTCAAAGTTGAAGCTTAAGAGTAAATAATTTCTAAATTAACTTAATCCTATGTTTTTTGGAGGAAGTCAGAGGAAACTGAAGGTCCTTAGAGCAATGTGTTAGTGTAGGAGGCTATGTAGTTCCTTGAAAGACAATTTTATAAAACAAAACAGAAGACAACCTGTACTAAGGCTTAACCTAATAGGCAGGAGCCTCAGAACAGGAAACAAGAGATTAAACAATAATGACAGGTAAATTATTTTCTAGACTTCCGGTGACTCTTGGCAGCAAAAGTTTGCACTTTTGGAAAAAAAATCGTCAGCCACAAAGTGACTAATCAAGTAACTTAAAACCTAATATTTGTCAAGATGGGCTTGCAGCAGCTTGCTGCACCTTTGCTTCTAAAAGACAACTCCAAGCACACTGACTTTGACATGCTGCATCTTTTCCCCAGAGCAAAATTTAACAATTTTCTGGATAATTTGATTAAATAAGTCAGGGTCTCAAATTGGCCTTTTTGGTCTTGAGTAAGACCAATATTGGACCAAATTTTATGATACCGAATACCTGAATCAAAGCACATTTTCTATTTTTTGTCTTTTCTAACATAAGGAATTTGATAAAATGGTAATATTTCAGAGTATAGTTTGGAACAAACACTGCCACGATCAGCTAACTTAAGAAAATATGTTTTGCCTTAATTGTGAGAACTCACCTGTGAATACTGCATGTCTGAGACACAGGTGACATTCAATAAATATTTGTTGAGCTAAACTCATTTTACTAGTTATAAAATTATCCTCATGGAATTAATCCTTGATACTATATATGAAGAAAAAGTATACTGTTAATTTTTAAGGAAAGTCTCCCTTATAAATCAGTTCAAAAAATTTTTTTAAAAACAAAGCCTTGACAAAACAAACAAGTCAGCAAATCCGGCAAAAAAAAAAAAAAAAAAAAAAAATTGGGGTGGGGAGAACAAGAACAATGATATAGCTATAATAAGCTCTCCTATGTTGAGTACAGATAGGTAAGTCAAATGTTGTTAGCTCTCGATTGCTGGAATTGTCTCTGAAAAATCATCAAATCCAGCTTAAAGTAGCAATCATAAAATAATTCTACAGAAAAGTGATGAATTATTTCACTAAAATGTTACCCTTAACATAAAATGCAGTTTCTTGCACTTGAAAGAAACAAAAGATAAAAGAAGACAAAACAGCTCAGTTTAATTTCAAACGTTAATATATTTTCTATTTTATGTTGAACATATGCATCTGTAACCCCTCATTTGCAGCAACTATCACATCCTCATAAAAGGGGCAAAATTTGTAAGATGCCTCTTAAAATAAATATTCTTTTTTATAAAATAATAAAACTTCAAATAAATAGTCTT